CTTTCCCGGAAAACTAGGGCAGAGCAAAACATTTATACCTCAAAGAAAGAAACTACATAAACCTAGACATGCTGAACTATTTTGAGCAGTTTCCTTATTCTTGCATAACTAAAATCTAGCCATAAATTGGTTTGGATGTTGGAAGTTACTCATAAAACAACTGCAGTCTCCTTCTTTGCCTTAGTGCTATCTGGGTGGACTGCCACATTAAGCTGTTCAAATTTTTAGCCTGAGGTAGTTTCAAGTTGACACCAAGCAAAATTTTAAATCTTATTCTTCTTTGTAGATCCCAAGTAGTTCTGACCATCTCTGATCTATCTTATAGTTCTGTAGTAGATTTTATTATTGTTCCACACTAGAGTCCCAATGCATGAAAATTCATGCAAGAGTAGGCCTTCCTTCCCCTGGCTACTGGCACCAGCTTCCCTCCGGCACATGGGACCCGGGATGCTTCCCTTTTCTGGCTGCCGGCAGGCATGTGGGACCAGGGCTGGCTTCCCTCTGACTCTGGCTTCGTCAGGAAGGACGTCTGGAATGACATCTGGAAGAGGTCCGGTCTAATTAGCATATTACCCTTTTATTATTATAGATTATTTCCTTTCTTATAAAAGGATTTGCATTCCTGGCTGTACCCCTGTGAGTTTCAGTGACTTGCTTTGAGAGTATACTTCCTTTCTCTATTCACATTTAGATTTTATCACATGATTTGTTTGGGCCAATGGAATGTTATTAGAAGTAATGTACTTCCAGGCAGAGATATTAAGAGACAACGTTATGATGTAACTATTCTGCCAAAAGAAAAGCATGTCCCAGATAGGGGTTGTTACTTTTATCTGGGTTCTGTAAGGAGACCACATGGAGTAAAGTCACAACAAACACATAACAACTGCTGTATAGCATAAGCAATAGATCTTTCTATCATAAATACAAAAATTTGGGGGACTGTTTGTTAGCATGATCTACTATAAACCAAGTAATACCATTTCTGCTTAGCAGCCACTGTATATGAGTTCCTGAAATCCATTTTGCCCAGTTGGAATAAAGACTTGATGAGAGAGAGAAAGAGAGGGAGAAAAAGGGAGAGACAGAAAGATGGAAAGAGGAAGGATTAAGACCAATTTTTTTTTTAAGAAAACCTTCTTTATTTTTTATTTATCTTAATATATTTTATTGATTTTTTACAGAGAGGGAGAGGGATAGAGAGTTAGAAACATCGATGAGAGAGAAACATCCATCAACTGCCTCCTGCACACCCGCTACTGGGGATGTGCCCGCAACCAAGGTACATGCCCTTGACCGGAATCGAACCTGGGACCCTTCAGCCTGCAGGCCGACGCTCTATCTACTGAGCCAAACCGGTTAGGGCAGGACCAATTCTTGAACCCTGCCTTTGCTTATCATTCCAAGTGAGGATAAAATTAGAAGGCAGGGGAACAAGAGAGAAGGAAAAACTGAGCAATGGCATTCTATCTAATAAAGAGGTAATATGCAAATTGACCATCACTCCGACACACAAGATGGCCGCCCTCATGTGGACACAAGATGGCTGCAACAAGATGGTCAGCAGGGGAGGGCAGTTGTGGGTGATCAGGCCAGCAGGGGAGGGAAGTTGGGGGGGACCAGGCCTCAAAGGGAGGGCAGTTGGGGGCAACCAGGCTTGCAGGGGACAGCAGTTAGGGGCAATTGGGCCGGCAGGGGAGCAGTTAGGTGTTGATCAGGCTGGCAGGGGAGTGGTTAGGGGGTGATCAGGCTGTCAGGCAGGAGCGGTTGGGGGCAATCAGGCAGGCAGGCGAGAAGTTGGGAGTCAGCAGTCCTGGATTGTGAGAGGGATCCCAGATTGGAGAGGGTGCAGGTTGGGCTGAGGGACACCTGCCCCCCACTCCCCACACAAATTTCGTGCACCGGACCTCTAGTTTATCTATAAAAGAAAAAGAATTTAACTCCTTTTCTGAACAACAGTGACTGTCTTGCCTTGTGGAGCTGGTAGGATCCTAAAATCTGGATGAAGGAAGCTAAGATCCCAGACTCTAGATAGAGAAGCTATAGGTGAGTGGGAAGAGAATCTCACTAAGAGAAGGAAATTCAGATTACTCAAAGGGATATAAAGGTGCTATCCTTTCCTCTGCCTTGTCTTTATCTTCACATCTTGAGGAAAAGCAGCAGGATTCCTTTCTCAAAGGCCAGGCCATCGAATGGGTGGTAAAGGGGGAAAGTTGAAGCTGTTCAGACTTGACATCTGTTACTCATCTGCTCAGAATAGCCTCCCTTTGGGAACTATCACTCCTTGCATGCAGTTTTGTTGGGTGCTGTACCATTGACGGGTATCTCCATCACAGCCCATTTTGCTGCTACCAATACCATTATAATAAACTGGTTATTGCCCTAGCTGGTTTGGCTCCCTCTCTGAAATCAATAAAAATATCTTTTTTAAAGAAAAGTATAATTGTGAGCACTTACCAGTGATTGTGTATTCAGTGTGTAACA